AAGCATCAACCAATCAAATTAAATATCTTTGCTTAGCCTATTTAAAGCAGAAAATGTTCATCTGCGAACTCCATCAAAGGCATTGACCTAATAAACACCTACACCAAGTTTGAACATTCTAGCTCAATTTGAAGGAAAGTTATTGTGTGACGGACAGACAGACAGACGAACCCATTTTAATAGTCCCCTGCTTTCTTCGAAAAAGGCCTTAGGCCCACCTTAAAAGATAGGATGCGAGGCAACGCTCACACTGTCGATTGCCATTTCCTCCAATTGGAATCAAATATTCAATCTAACGAAAGTTTTGGCAATAACTTTTCCCTGTATGGCGATTCTTTTTTCTTGCCACAAAGCTTTGATTTCCACGCTGTGCATCTGTTACAGTCTATTGCCCTTAGGTATCAGTAATTGGGCTACCTTTTGTCTATCAATCAATCTTGGATTAGTGTTGATAAGTATTTACAGTATGAGTAGTAATAAACTAATTAAGAGACAAAACATTTAATTATTTGTCTTAAAATACGAATCAGTGGCTTGTTTTGATATTGATGATTTCTATAATACTCTTCAAAAAAAGTAGGGGATATTCAGAAACAATGTTAATAACAGGCCAATTGCCTACACATGAACATAAACAGTTCATATGGGCGGCTTATCTGACGGCCCCCATTTCACTCGCAAAGAGATACACTGTCAAAAGTGAAAATGAACGTTCTTGATTTTTATCTTAATATGAGTAATTGCTCCACCAATTGTCAGACATTCAACAATTCGTCGTGGCAAGCTCCTAATCAACTGTCCAATCACGATTTGGGGCAATCTGACCCAATCTGACAAAGACGTCAACGAACACGTCTTCCGCTCATGTCCTCGACATGCTCTATATGGGAAATGTCAGGACTCATGGCTGGCCAAGGCATATGGACAATATGGTGACGCTGGAGGTAGTCATTCACGACACGAGTGTGGTGGGCACGAGCATTATCATCTTGAAAGATGAAAAGTCGACCTGCATGTTAAGCAAAAGGCAGAACTATCGGTGCAAGGATGTGGTCAAGGTAGTACACACCAGTGACAATTCCTTGAACAATATGCAAGTCCGTTCTGCCAGTCATGCTGTCTGACGTTAACGTTAGCATGACGCTCATTTACACCCCTCCAAACGCAAGCACGCCTCGGTGAAATCCAGAGTAAATCTGGACTCATCTGGGAACATTACACGCGCCCATCAACGATTACCTCAATTTCTATGCTGCCTACACCATTGACGCCTGTTTGCCATGTACTGGCAAGTTAATGGAGAAACAACACACGATCGTCCCGCATTCAAATGGGCTGCATGTAGCGGATTTCTAATCGTTTGGGGTGTAACTCGAATTCCTGTACTTGGTATAACTTTACAGAAAGCTGATTGGCCACTAGTCCTCGATTTTGCAGGACCTGTGTACGAATGTATCGATCCTCGGCATGTGTAGTGGCTCTAGGACGACCTGAATGAGGTCTATCATCAGCATTGTGTGTTTGTTGGTAAAGGTTCCACAGTCTGCTGTTCACCCTGCTGTTCACAGACTGTGACACATTAAGCATGTTGGCTACTGCTTGCTGTGTAGAACCCATTTGAAGCATGCCAATAGCACGTAGACGTTCATCATGTTGAAGGCGTCTCATTGCAAATTAAACGTAACACACTAAAGCAAAGATACGCTAAACAGTAAATCTTATGCAAGAACCGATAGGAAAGCAAACATGGATAGGATAAGCCAGCACGCGGATGTTTTCATCAACCCTTCCTGGAAGTGTCAAATTTGACAATGAACCCCTCCCACGTGTATGGTGCTATTGCGTGTCGCACATGCAGCTCAGTGGTTCTGTTGGGGTGATAAGTTCTTCATCTGTGAACATACTCTTAAAGCGTGTCAAGTGTCCATGACTATTTATCATATCACAACCTGCATAGGTATTTGCATTTCAATATCCACCACTTTTTTTTAAGAATATATAATCAAATTGGCGGACTCTAAGAACAATACTTGTTCGATTTGTTTGAGATTATTGGATTATGCCTTCTGTTTGATCTTTTTCATACTGCAGTTGTCGGTACCGTTAATAAAATGCGCATATATTCTTAGGGTTGTCAAAAGTCAGTTTTGTCTGCAATATCACTTTGGTGGAAGCTGAGGTTAAACATAGCTATTTTACACACCAAATCAGTTATTATCAAATCATATCACTTTGAAGTTGCAGTATTCACAGATGGAATAAAAGGAAAACGCATCTGTGTTCGTCAAATTTTCTTGGAGGTGTTCCTCCACGGCAAGCTCATTATTGTTCATTATGAAACAGCCTTCTTCAATGTCCAATAATAATAGAAGAATGTCGGATTATTTTAGCATGCCACCATCAAAATGCTTCAAGACTACAGAGATGGTATTGACATAAGCTCTCATCTATCTGATGATATTACATCCTTGGATATTGAAGTGATTTGCACTTAAACAATTCATGTGACAACTGCTGACTGTGAAAGAACATTATCAACAACAAATACAGAAATTTTTTAAAAACAAATACACTTTGTAATTTGATCGTATTTTAAGTATAGGTAAAGTGGTTACCCCAGATTTTGAAAAAAGCTTTCAAAAAAATTAGCCTTTGCACATAGGCGTACCGGCTCGATCACTGTTGGGCGGGTAGAACTCGAAATGCCCGAAAAAATTCGGATTACAGGAGGGGGGCGCAGCGGAGCTTGCTGTGGAGGGATACCTCCAAGAAAATTTGACGGACAAAAATGCGTTTTCCTTTTATTCCATCTGTGAATACAGCAACTTCAAAGTGATCTAATATTTGCCTAATTCAAGTGGCTGACTGTAATTCCAATCTACTAAAGAATCATTTACAGACCACAGGAGAAAATATTGAAAATTTAACTGCTGCAAACATATTTTCCTGCTATTCCAGCCTGTGAATACAGCAACTCCAATGTGGTCCAATATAGCCTACCTTAGGTGGCTGACCTGAATCCCAAACAACCAACGGGGTATGGGGGCCTCGCCCTCCCGGATAAAATTTTGAAAATTTAACCCCCGCAAATGCGCTTTTCTGCTATTATAGCCCACAAGTTAGGCAACTCCAAAGTTTTCCAAATGTTTTTTAACCGAAATCCCACTCTATGATGACCTGAAATCCAACCATCCAAACAGGCTGTTGCAGCTGCATTTATAAATAATAATCAATACCCGAAAAATGTCACACAAAGTAGAGTGGCTCCAGACAAAATGTTTAAATCCATAGTCAATTCAGTACAAATTTGTGGTATTGTATTTAAGTAAAGGAAAAGTAAAGTTAGTGTTTTATTAGATTTCAGGCACTTTAATTTGCCAACTAGATGAAATAATAATTTTTGTTTTCACTTTTATCTGTCTGCCCGAAAATCAGATTGCCCGAAAGTTAGGCAGCTGCCCTCCTGGCTCGTTCCCCTATGGAAGTAATTTACAGAAATTGCTGAAATTTCAACAGGCTTAAAAAATTTCACACAGATCGGATGATAACTTTTGTTGTTAAAAGCACAAGGTGTAATGAAGTGAAACAAGGGCCATAACTCCAGAAGAAATTAGCGGAAATTAAATAAGTTTCTTCATTTCGCAAATGTAGGCCTATATCAATTTCAAAACAATCAGATGATAAATGTACAATGTAGCCTGTAGTGTACACAAGAAATTCTGGATGACAGACAGATGGACGGGGACGACGGCAATATATGACTACATTTCCACGTGGGCATATAAAAATTAAATGACTTTCTGGAGACTAAATAAAATCATTACTGGCATGGATAAAATCTATGTATGCCCTACCAATATAGATATGTACATAAAAGATAGAGATTTTGGAATTTGCTGTCCTGACAAATCTTAAAAGTTTCTGTAGTTACAAAATTGTCAACATTCAGCTTTCCTTGCAGATAAAATACCACAGAATATGATCAAAACAAGCCAGCATCACCTATTATTCTTTTGATGGCCTTTTTGTAATACAACTGAATCCAACCCGGGAGATTATCTTCCACTGATATTTTCAATAATCAATTGGAATATATTTTAGTGTGTATTAAGCCCTGAATAATTAGACATTTTAGTGGATTAAGCTCTGAAAAGGTTGATATAGTTCGAAAGATATAAACGACTATCAGTGACTTTAACCCTTCTCATAACAATGATAGCTGACTTCTTGTGTTACATACATGCATGTCAAAAAATGATGAAGAACACAACATACCTCTGTATAATCTAGATGAATGTAATTCTTTTTTTTTTCATTAACTCATGAATAATATGTCACTAATAATATGCCATACAAGTCAATGTCCTTTTTTCAGGCTTTAGGCCAAAATCCAGTAATGCCAGGCATTGATGTCAAAAATAAAATTTTAAAACAAAACTGTAAAACTTTGACCACTTTTTTATTTACTTCTCATCATCAGGTATTTTTGCCTTTGCTACTTCATCCTTTTCATTTGGTCAAGCGTCTGCTTTTCTTAAGATATTGGGACAATAACTAAGTACATTTACTGGTAGGATACCATTCCATTGAAAGAGTTATGATCATCAATAGCCATAAAACAATAACAACTGGGCCTTCATGACAGACAATATCCAAATCAAAATGACATATTATTATATTTGTGTTAGTAAAAGGATAATTTCGACTATAACTGTATGGACATATAATATATCCTCAAACGCGATACCGGGTACCGGTACAAACATGTACATGTCAATTCGAAATACGCTCTGGCAAATGATGAACAAAATAGGCGAGCGAGACACGAGCCGCCATTGCCAGTCGCTGTGGACTACACTGTTGATTCTTCCCATACCTTGTACAAAAGCTCCCACAATCAATGTGGAGATATAATCTCAGCCTAACTAACTATAACAAGGTGCTTTACAACATTTAGCAACAAACTATCTACTGTATTTATCTAAAATGTTTTAACGAACCTTAAATTGGTCAGCAGATAAACTTTTCTCTCGATCGCACGTTCTTCGTCCAGCTCAACACAATGGTCCGCTGTTTGTATGGATGAAGCGAGCCAGTTATCGTCTGCTGTCTACCATGCAATAGTCTCCCTATACACATTCGCGGGATAGGTCGGCCGAGATTCGCTCGATCTATTTTTGCTGCCTCAAGTTGATTCATGTCATGTGATCCTCGTAGCATTAAGCTCTCTCGCTCTAGCTAGCTCAATTTGCGTATGAGTGTAGTGGTTTCTCAGACTAAGAATAAACAGGGTAGCTTCGCATGGTGGTGACCTACTTGGGATTGGATTGATTTTCTTGTAGTACTAATAGGCCTACACAGGAGGAAAGGCGGACATTTAAAACTCCAGTGACAGAAGGCCATATGACAATAAACGCAGACTGGTGATCGAGATCGAGCTCCGGGGTTTGCCCAAGCTACAAGAAGAATAGGTCTGGAGATGGGTGGCGGTCTACACTACCTCGTCGAATAAATAGCCTACGATAAAGAAGGTGTCCTAGGTTCGATTCTTCTAAAAGCCATGATCTAGCTAACTTACTTACCACAGCCAGGGGGATTGGGTGGTTGGGTGATCTGACGCAGATAGCTGAACTTACTGAGTCAAGTGGTGTGGATCCGATCTCAAGCTTTTACGTGCAAAGAGTTAACCCAAAGCCGGGTTGTTTATGGATTCTCCGATTTCCGTCCCGTGCAAGACCCTTACGCGCAATGAATGAAATTGGGTTTAACGCCCTACTTCTCTACGCCAACCGGGTAATGGAGACGGGCATAGGCCATACACTGAGCAGGGGGAAATTTTGCTCGGACAATTGAAATCCAACAGACAAGCGTTATTTTACGTGCACACCAGCCCCCCCCCCCCGTCTTGTACCACTGACAAAGGGGGAGGGGCACACCGGAAAATCTCAGGGAACTTTCTTGGCGATCACTTGGATCTAACCCCGGACCTGATCTGCCGCGCAATTATAGAAATGAGTCCCGAAATTATGACCTAGTTTGTGACTAGTGGACATTAAACCCCATTAATCTCTCACCCTTTTAACCAGAACACCCGGTTTCCTTACACCAATTGTTAACTGAAATATTTAACGTCGAGGAAATGTTCCTAGTGGTGACTGTTTCAAATCCACATTGAGAGTTAAATTATATGCGAAGTAATAAATTATATTCTCAGGTGCGAGTGCAACAGCAGACATGTTTATTAGACTTCTACCTAAAAGCTCCTGTAGCGCCGACTTGTCAAATCTGCTGGAAAGTAGATGAATGCTCCTAGTCCAACTTTAGATTACAGGCTTCAAGACAAAATTAAATATACAATTTAAAGATCAAGTTATTTTTCAGAAGAAAATAACAGACACCATTATCATCGAATCGTAAACTCCCTTGAAATAATTTCAAGCCCGGTTCCCACTAGTCCGTTGTAATGTCTCTAGTGTGGGCAACCCGCGTGGATGTAAAAAAAACTCATATTTTGTAATTTAAAAAATGATAGATGGAAACTATGCTGTACATTCAAGATTCTTCTCGCACACATTGCACACGTTGACTAACTACATCATAATTTCAAGCCCAGTTCCCACTAGTCCGTTGTAATGTCTCTAGTGTGGGCAACCCGCGTGCATGTAAAATAACTCATATTATTTGTAATTTAAAAAATGATAGATGGAAACTATGCTGTACATTCAAGATTCTTCTCGCACGCATTGCACACGTTGACTAACTACATCATAGTAAAGTTAATGTTTACAAAAAATAATGTATGTTTATTTTATAATGAGCTAGACAACGTTTATGCGTCACTAAAGCCCATTCCATTCCTTGTATTTGCATTTCAGTGGAATCGTATCAGTGGATTTTTAGTCTGCAACCAAATTCTCTTTGTATAATAACAGAAATGCAATCAGAACCGCTCAATTTATTTAGTAAGACGTTTGACGGGGTTACGCAATATTCTTATAGATTGTCGTTATTATTATCCCATACTTAAGGTACCCGGTAGGTGTAAACATCCTGCTATGGAGAAAACAACCAATTTTGTATCTTAATTGATTAAATGCACAATATTCCAGACTAAAAGACAAATATTCAAATTATTTTGTATAGATTTCACGCCGCGATCTTCTTATCTCTTACGAGCACCAGCCAGCTTCTCAACAGCAACTTGCTAACACTAGTCCCTAGCTCATGGCGACATCTATGGCCTGGTTTACAATACAGAGAACGCATTTTAGACCTTATGTGAAATTTGAATAAGGGAAATATCAATTTGCCTCCTGGCGCCCTGAGAGAGAGAGAGAGAGAAATGGGGTTTAACGTCCACTCAACACGTAATTTGTTTAATTTCATTTCAATAATTCGCTTGCGCGTAGGGGTCTTTAGCAGTGGGAGGAAACCGGAGGACCCGGAGAAAACCCACGAGGTTGGACAGGCGACCCTACTCCTTGTCACGTACAGCCGGGGATTCGAAACCAGGCCAGTTGACTCAATGACAGGCTTTATGATACAGCGCGCACGTGCTAACCATTTCGCCTTGCAATTATGGTTCTGATTTTTAGCACTTCGTAAGATCTAATAAAAATGTTGATGAGTGGACTATATCTTGTTGTGACTGGAAAAGCTGCGTTTTTATTGGCTGTTTACAAACACAAATGGGAGCACAACACATTGGGTAAACTATGTTCTGGTATAATATGAAATACGAAATGCAAAATAGCAGATTTTATCATTTTGGTGTGGACAGAACTCATACGTGTGGACTATGTCTTGTTGTGACTGGAAAAGCTGCGTTTTCATTGGCTGTTTACAATACACAAATGGGAGCACAACACATTGGGTAAACTATGTTCTGGTATAATATGAAATACGAAATGCAAAATAGCAGATTTTATCATTTTGGTGTGGACAGAACTCATACGTTGCTTGTCAATGGCTAAACCACTGTCGTCATTAAGAAATTGTTGATAAGTATGTCTTTAGCATAGCAGATCGATTGAGCTAGAACTGTCGCTTCACGGTGAACCTAACCTGTATCTTATCAGAATCGTGGTACTGGTAGGCGTGGCGCGCCTGGCAGAGCCAAGTGTACGCTTACTCTTTCAAGAATGCCTAAAAATAATCCACATATTTGGAACGCAGAAGCTTATGTCGCTATCGACCATTTTGTCCGTTGATACGTTATATTTTTATTCGACTAACTTTTGTGATCTACACAGTGTACTCTGTTTTCATTCACACTTTAGCATAACGAACACATTGACAGGGGTTGGAGTTAACTGAACTGTGTGGAAGATAAACAAAGGTGGGACTCTTCTACCTTTTCCCAGATAAACCTAAAGACTGTAGATCTTGATTTCGCCCCAGTTTAAATTGTCTGTTCGTCTGCACACCAGAAAGACTTACTTTAAACAATATCTTTGTCTGCGATTGGTGAAATCTTACCTTCCCCAAGTATGTCAGCATTACTTTGATGAGAGGTCACCCTGGATCAATTCAATAAAGCGATGTGAAAGATAATATTAAACGGGAAGGAAACGAAAGTAAAAAACAATAGCAACTGGTGGCTGAATTCCTTTAAGAAATTTAAATTGTATGGACATATTGCAGGGCAAATATGGTAACTTAATCAGTTTTACATATTTGGTGTCAAGAATAGGTTTAACGGACCTTCTACTTTTAGTTAGACCTGGTTCTTTTCTATGTAATGCAATAGTCAATTTCTAATATATCGCTACCAGCATACAGACTAATTCTATTTTCAGTCTAAAATCCAATCGATATTTACAAGTACAGATAATGGACAACAATCATCAAACTGCTGTTGCTTTCTGGGCTCTGTCGGATTTAAGGTACAGTCATCGACCAAATAATGAGTCATAGAAAGAGGTAGCCATTAGAGACACCTGCGAGCACCATCCTTCAGTTAATACATATTGATATTGATTTTAAAAGTTTTAAAATTAAGAATCTTCTCTATTTCTTATTTTGTGGGAGGGACTTCTTGCCTTAAAAATGAATTGGCTAGCGCCCATAAAATTTAGGTACAGGATCAGTTACTTTAAAAGTTGTGCACTAAATGCGATACAAGTACTGTATGGGATAATATTATACACACAGACCACTAAAGGGTTGATTTTCAGGCAAACCAGCAAAGCTAGTATTGATATTGTAGTTAACCGAAAGGGTAGCTATCCGCGATATCGATTTTCTGTTCCACTGAAGGACATAAAAGGCCATTTTACCTTGGGCTATCTTGAATATCATCTGTATACGATACTAAGCTATTGAATGGTGATCTTTATACAAAGAGTTGGTTATGTCAATCTCGCGGCGGCACTGATCAAGTACTTCCTGTTTTTAACGGAAGTTATGAAAGATCATCTAAACAATGTCCAATTACATGATTGTTATATATGCTACATACTTTTTACTTGATTACAGTTCACCACTCTCCCTGTCTCTCCCTGTTTCTCTCTGTGGCCCTGCATCCACCACTCTCTCTCTCTCTCTCTCTCTCATTACTCTGGCATCGCGATGATGAACTGTATGATCAACTACGAATCAATTAAGGAATGACTTATAGGTGAATTACAGGGGCGTGGTGGCAGCTAAGGTATATGTTTGACACCGGTAGAGCAATATGCAATTATAAAGTGTTGGGGACGAGAATCTGCACGTGAACGTATTTTTCCATTTGAGAGGAAGGGCAAAAAACATGGACGCAAAGACTCTAAACCCATGACGTAAAATGCATCATTGCGTCCCTTTCACTTATTCCCTGACACATTACCGCTCGTAAGAACATTGTTTACCATGTCATTTTACAGTTTCGGGAACGAGCATTCCCAATTACTTGTCGAAGGTGTTTAAAAATTCAATAATACAAAGCAACAAACGTGTGTGAGCTAGATGTACTCGCAAGAAAAACGGGGAGTGGTATCGGGTGTGACAGCTCATAATATCACATTATTCTATGGTATATAAGCGCACCAAGAATATGACAGAAAACTCGTGGTTGTCGCTGGTATTCGGGATGTTTGTAGTAATAGATTTTACGATAACCACTACTATTATATATTATAGAACA